TTATTATTATTATTTTGTCCTACCTAATAGAATTCTTCCAAAGCCCAATCCAATATTTTTAAAGCTAAAATTAAGATGGTTTTGTTTTAAAAGATTATCTCTTTCTCTCTTTTCTCCTTTTATTTATTTAACTTTTTCCTTTTCCTTTCTTTCCTTTGTTTTTTTTCCTCTCTCTCTCTCTCTCTCTCTCATTTTCTGTGTTTCTCTTCCTTGTCTCCAGTTTTACTACCTGGTCCTTCGCCAGATGTGTGCCTGTTAGCAGTGTTGTTGTTCAAGAACATCTTGTCCATGCCTTTGAGAGCTTCAGTCAGGTAGTTTTGAAGGGCCGTGAGGGCAGCGCAGATAGCGGGGGCCCCAAAGCCGTGAGTGATGAGGCTGAAGTGAGTCAAGCAGCTCTGAATGCCCGGTTCCAAAATAGGGGTGGGCCGGCTGTTTCCAATGGGTGTCCTGTCCTGGGCCAAGAGATCTGTAAATTCTTTACAAAGTTGCCTGCACAGAAGACAGAAAGGCAAAGAGAGGACAAGAGAGAGAGAAAAGCGGTGGTTAGGCTCATCCCACACTTCTCTGAGACAATCAAGGTTGAAGGAGGGGGCAGGTTCAGGCCAAAGGTCATCCCAAGAGCCAGGATAGGACCTTTTTGCCACCTTCCTTTTCCCCAGCAGTGCTTGGGGACTGGCCATGGTGAGCCAGAAACTCCCTGCTCAGGATGATGTTCATCAGGAGAGAAGTTTCTGCAACTGAAAGATAACACCAGGTCTGGAGATAGAAATACCTCCCTCAGCCATAAGGATGCTTCTGGGGAGGTTTAGATTGGATAGTAGGAAAAATTTCTTCACTGAGAGGGTTATCAAGCATTGGGACAGGCTGCCCAGGGAAGTGGCTGAGTCACCATCCCTGGCAGTATTCAAAAGACGTGTAGATGTGGCACGCAGGGACATGGTTTAGTGGTAGACTTGGCAGCATTCAGTTTGTGGTTGGACTCGATGTTCTTAAAGGTCTTTTCCAACCTAAATGATTCTATGGTTCTGAAGCACTGAGAAAACCCAGCCCTATTTGGTGGCTCTAGAAATAATCAGGCTGAAAGGGACATGCGCTGTGGGTCTGCCAACCATCCGTCGTCCTGGAGGCCTGACCCTGCCTCAAAGCATCTCCCATCTATGCTGTTCCTGGAGGAAAGCACAAGCATGCACAGAGAGCCGCTGGGTGGCACAGAGACATGGTACAGGGAGGGGCCAAAATGGAGCCTCCTTTGAGAGTGCTCAGGTTGAACCACTTTGTCAAGAAAGATCAGGACTCTGGGACTTCATGCTGGCTTATTCATTGCATGAGGAGCAAAGCTAGCACTTGCCTATTTTATTTTGGGGGATGGCATCCCAATTAACACATCAGGGTTGAAATCTGGCTCTTGTTTGTTTGTCCAAGCCTTGGAAAAATCAGATTTTATTTTTATAATTAATTCCCCCCACACGTTCTTTGGCATTGTTCTGGTTCAAAAGGCCTTCAAGTCAACAGGTGCCTGGGCAATGTAGAAACCCTGGGGGCCTGTGGGGTTCCCAAAGGAATAGTTTCTTTGAGACAGATGCCTACCCAGGGACTGGAATAAAAAAGGCCAGAATTTAAAAAAAAAAAAAAAAAAAAGAGGAAGAAAGAAAAAAAGAAACCTTTAAAAAAGGCGTTCAGCTCTCATCCTCTGAAATTCTCTGAAATTCCCGGTGGATTAAAGGTTTCAGAGGGTGGGGAAAGATAAAGGTCTACTTCTATGTGTATTATCCATTAAGAAAGTGCAAGAGAGGAAACTTTGAATTTAGAGAACAAACAGTAATGAGTCCAACATTTTACATCTTCAAAGACCAAAGCAGGGTCTGTGAGCAATTAAAGTTCTGGGACATTAATATCTTCTGACCCTGCGGAAAAGGGCAATCAAATTCCAATCACGTCTAAAAAACATCTGGACAAATTTGAGCAAATGATTTTTCAACCTTCCATATATTTCTTTAAATTACACTGTCATCGGAGGCAAGCCACGTCCCAGAGCATGAAATAAATGAGAGCTGTGTGGGATGGTATTTTTTTTTTCCTTTCTTTTTTTTTTTCCCCTTTTTTTGCCGGATAGACAGAGATGTGTGGAGGCACACGGCACCCACCGCCGAAGACCCAAGCAAACTATGAAGCACCCAGTTAGTAGCCTGGGAGGTATAGCCAAGTGTAAATCATCCGGTACAGCACAGCCCCGAGAAAGCCCCAAGAGAGAGAGATGGTTTGGGGGGACCAAACCGAGGATGACTAACAGTATATGGCCATGGAGGGCTTTTTCTTTTGTTTTTGGGTTTCTTTTTTTTTTTTTTTTTTATTAAACCACATGGAAAAGACATTGTAATTTGGTAGTGGACAAACAGGTGTATGTGACCGACAGGAGAGACAGACAGACATGCTGTGGAAGCAAAATATAGATTTTTGGTCTCTTTTCCGTAAATATTTTTGAACTGGGGTGGCTTGGAAACGATGTACAGTAGCTAGGGGAGAGTCGCCTACATCCTCTATAGGGACAGCGTGTGTCCTGAAACCCCACTGCAGAGGGACCCAGAGCCTATAGGGCGATAGGAGCACCCTTCCTCCCCGCGGGGCCGGTATAATTTGGGGACTGGAAACTCCGCCTGCATTCAAAACGAGCTCAGAGGAAGGGTTTGAGGAGGAGGAGGATTTTATCGGGGGAGGGCAGAAGGGGCGGGTTGCCAACTTCGCACTCACTTTGTAGCAAGCAGCATGTTTTTCCTGGAGTGGAGGTCGCTGGGGTCCGTGTGCTGTCTGTTCAGGTACTCAGAAACAGCTTTGGCTGGGAACTCCGTTTCGCAGATGTACCCAAAATCCCGAGCTAAATGAACGGCCTCACCTGGAGGGAAGGAGGGGGGGACACATTAACACCTCCGGGCACCGCCGGCCCCAGCCTGGGCGGGCTCCGACCTGCCGAGGCACCGGGCTGCTGCCCACCGCTCGTTCGAGCCGTGTTTAGAAACCTTCTAACATCCCCTGCACCTTAGGGACAGACTCCAGGTATATGTCTTCCCTCCACAAAACCTTATTTTGGGGGCAGAAGTAAGTTGATGGGACAGATTTTTTAGCTGATGAGATTTGTCTTTGCTACAAGGCACTTGTGATGGTACGGACCCACGCAGCTGATTGTGCAGAACTGAGGGGAAAGTACACACACCTATACATCCACACATACACACACTTTCCAATGAACTGGGCCAAAAAAAAAAAAAAAAAACCAACAAACCGAAGAAACTTAAATCCCAAAAGACGGAAGGATCCAAACTTCTCTTAAGAGCAGAGAAACCATTCCTGTTTCAATACACCCGAACACAGTCCAAAATTTTACAGATGTGGGCATAATGTTAATATGTCCATTCGTTGTGGGACATTATACACACACTTGTTATACACACGTACAGAGCACTTGCATCGTTATCACGATTATCGCCACATCTGTAAAATGATGGAGATCACTGCATTTCGTCCGCTGAAAATTAGCAATCTGCTTTCTTAACTGACCGTCATGCAACAGGAACTCCTCCCCGCCCGGTGGAAGGATAGCAACTAATGGCAACATTTTCTGTGAAAAATAATAATTATTCTAATTGTCACTTTTCCTGCCTGCCTGGTTTGAGGTTTCTTGCCTCCAGAGGTTCGTGTCATCCAACTCCTACTGATGTACTTCACGCCGCAAGAAGACGACAGTAGCTGAAGAAAGGAGGAAAAGAGAAGGGGGGGAAAACTCAGACTCCAGAGGGATTCCACCAGATTATAGCTCAACCCCTCTAGAATAAAGCATTAAACCCTTTAAAGCACCGCCTGAGGGACCAGGGCGAAGATTTCCAACAGGCAAAACAGATACGTCTAATAACTTCAGGACCACATTATTTTTAACGATCAGGAGTTGCTTTCCAACGTCATCTTCTGCTTTCCAAGGTTTCTCGCTAAATCGCCAAACTGCTTCAGAAAAGCCCAGGCAGCCGGCGGAGCCCCAGGGAGTCCCCGCCACGGTCACCCCACGCGGGGCAGGGTCCCCCCCAGCGCAGCTCGGGTGGGTAATCCTGGCCGGAGCGTTTCTGCTTTGGGTGATACAATAGCAGCAGCAAGGCTAAAGCCTGGCTGGTGGCAGAAAAGAAGATAAATCTCCAGCAGGTGCAGCTTCTTCCGAAAGGAGGGAGTTCTCTCGGGGTAAACTGTTGATTTGTAAGGAAATCAGGGGAGCGGGAGGTAATGTACACCTCGCTACACACTTGACGTGGATTTTAGCATCACTTAGACAACGGCACAAGCTGTTGAACCTCAAGCCAGCACCCGGGAGGGGCTGATTTTGCCGTGAGTAGGGTGCACCGGTTTTCACACTCGCAGCAGGGGTGAAGCTGGACTAACCCCGATGTTCAAGGGCAGTTTGTCACACTCGAAATGCTTCATGTCTCCTATAGCGCGACCCTATATCCCTACGCTGCGCTTTGCACACGCGGCATAACCTATATGCGGGTACCAGGAGGAGCTCGTTTCGGTCAGCCTTTTTGCGAGCCTGCCTTCAGCTCTGCGCTCTGTGTAAGGTCTTACCGCTCCCCTAACTCAATCAAAAGAGCTGAAAAGTTAATATCTAGCACAAATGTTTATGCATGCTTATATGCAGAAGAGATAAGTGGATTATTTATACACCTCTCGGTATGTATGTGTAATGCAGATACGTATAATTCATAATTGCATCCATACCATTCCGGCTATGTTTTTTGGAGAAGGTCCAACTTCTCTTAGCGTAAACACGCACATGTCTTAAACATATTACCGGCTCTAAATTTTACTTTTCAATACAGTAACAATAAATCAGAGAGACGCGCCGAACACCCAAATGACATGAGTTGACTTGAAATGAGGTGAAACTTCAGTCTCCCCTTTTCCTCTCTCCTTCTTCAGGAATAGCTTGTCTTTTTGTTCCGTTCTAGCCATCTTAAGGTAAACGGCGCTCTGCCGCCTTCAAATTGCTCTGATTTCTTTAAAAAAACAAAAAAAAATCTGTATTATTTGTCCTCATTGAGCGTCCTGTAAATATGCTCGGGAGGAGCGAATTAGCGGGAGGATGGAGTAGACGTGGAGTCGGGGAGCACAGGCTGGAAATTAATAGCAATGAGGAATGGGACTGCCCTGCAGAATCACACACGTACACACACACACACATACACACACACATATTCTTGCCACCCAGCGGAATCAATGACCCTTAGGCCAGTGACTTCATTTTTGAGGATGGGATCCTTAACCGTGACGGCGTTCATGCTAACCCGCCCTGAATTTCACCTCTGCAAGATTTTCCCACCTGATCCCGAAAGTTATGGTGGTTTGGGGTTTTGGGGTTTGTTTTGGGTTTTTTGTTGTTGTTGTTGTTGTTCAGAAAATGTCAGACACGAGTTCAGAGCAGGCAGGGGTGTGAAGGGAGCTGCGACCCTCGGCTTACCTTCCACCAGGGAGGTGAGTAAAGTGACATTTGCGGCCTTACGCCTGCCGGCTGGTAAATTCAAACCGATTTTTTCTAGCCTTTCTCGCAAAGATCTCCCCCCGTTTTTCGATTTGGCTCTAGAATTGCAAAGAAATTAACATCGTGATTAACCCCGCAGTGTTCCTGGAAGAAACGTTTAGTCTGTGCAGTCAGTGGAGCCTGGGAAGGTTTTCACCCGACGTTAAGGACTTTGGGTGTGTTGATTTCTGTTAGGTTTTGCTGAGATTTGCTTAATTTTTCCTGGGGATTGGGAGTGAACCCACTTTTCACCCTGTTTTATCCAAGTAAATCAAATAATGCCAAAAAGCAATAATTAATGGTCAGGGTTCTGATCTAGAAAGCAAACGGGTTCCTACTGCATGACACTAATTCGTATTAAGATGGAGCGAGGAGATGGGCAGAAAGGTGGAGGAGGGGAATTAAATCCTCAGTTATTCCAGGAAAGAGCCAAAATGGGAAGAAGAACGAAGGGAAAAAAACAAAACAAAACATAAAAAAAAAAAAACACCTGAAAGGCTCGAGGGGAGAATGTGTGTGCCTGTGGATAAATACAAAAGGAGGAAAATATTTATGAAACTTCAGGAACCATTTCGTGCGTGTGTGTGAGTGTGTTCTTGTGCGGAAAGGCGATGCTGAGAGGAAGAGCTCACCGGAAGGCAGAGTGCGTTATAAAGAGGGAACTGATTGCCTGAAGGAAGATTTGAATATCTGTCAGAGGCTACTGATAAGGACAATAAAAGGATGAGTGAGCTATAGGTGGGAAATACAGAGCTATTGTTCGGACTCCTATACATATGTAAACCCCCAGGGATGAAATCTTGCCACCTGCGAAATCAGGGAGAGTTTTGGCACTAAGTCACTCACAAATATCTCTTAGTTCTTACTTAAAATTCGTTTAAGAATTAGCAGTCACACTTAGCGAAAGGAAACCAGAAGGGACAGAGACGCCAGACTGGCTTCCCACTATTTGATATCAAAGTAAATAGGGCTAGATGACAGAATTGCAAGAGAGCAGCTTTCTATATTTCATCTGCCCTGAACCAAAAGCTTGTCTAAAATTTAGATTCGAGATAGGAACTGAAGTCAGCAGTAGCCAATGATCATGGCTTGGGCCATCTCCAGAAATCCACTGAAGTTCAATAATGATGTTTCTTTACCTTGATAATCCTATTTTCTACAGTGTATCTCTCAGATGTTCTCCCTGCTCCATTTGTAGCTGTACAGAGTGAGCAGGCAGGTTAGCATCTGTAAGTATAAATCTCTGCTGCTCTCACTGGCAAGGATCACAGTTGAACATTGATTACAGACATTCACGTGGAACAGCATCTATTTTAGGAGACCCTAATTCTCACGTGTATTTTTGGGTGACTGACTGCGCATAGCAGGACTTGCCCCCTCCTCTCCAGACACAGAGCTGACGTCATCACAGATTTTTTTTTTTCAGGAAAAAAAAAACAGCAAAACCAAACAATAAGTTGATTTTCAAACACCTTAGACTCAACGTTGCCCAGTTGCTGCTACAGGGATTGGCAAGATATTTCCTTCTCTAAGATTAGCAACTTTTAAATATGATCTGAAATTTACTGGGGCCAAGTTAATTGCATTTGTTTCTGCCTCGAAGTTATACTCTATTTTCCAGCCTGGCGTATACCTCATATGTAGAAAATGAAGTCTTATTCCCTCTCAGCTTTGCATTGGCTGGAGTGAACTGGTACCTTATACCATATCATGACTTCTTCCTTATTCTAACTGGAGATAGAGCTCATCTTTCTTACAGACAAGTCGTACTGACAATTCACAGTCCTTAGGTCATTGTCAGGAAGATAAAGGCCTTTCTCCCTGTTAGTCTTTCCAGCTGATGACCTCGGAGCTTAAATTCTTGTTGCTGGTACCTAAATGCACGGTCTCTCACTTGATATGACAGAGTGGCAACCAGGCCTTTAGGTTATCCCTTGCTCCTCATTTTCCTCAGTACCAATAATGCCAACTATTTTGAGGTCTTCAGCAAAATCCACCAGGACGTTAGTGGGTGCTTTGCACAAATGTTTAACAGCAAAGGCCTCAGGACCAACTGCGACTAATTCCTCTAGCAACCTTCTCGAGATGAAGCACTAAGTTTCTGACTTTCAAAGCTATCTGTTGATGGCTTTTCTTTAGTCAGGTACTTAACTACCTTATAGGTTGCCTATTAACCCCCTGCCAATTTCAATAATCTTCTGTGTGACAACATGTTAATTGCCTTATTGTTATGGCCATATAGAGGAATTCTCATGGATTTATCTAGGAAATCCCTAGAAATACATCAGGTCTTGAAATACATCCAGTTCATCCTGCAACATCTAACTGCAACACGCCCATCATGGCATTTTATTTTGTCCATTTGCTAAAAGAGAAGTGTGAGGAGAAGGAGAAAACATAGAAAGTGTGTGCGTGTACAAGAGCGAAAAAAACTTGCCTCAGTTCCTCCATTTTGGGATGCTTTGATAGAAAATGTACAAGTCCAAATCTTTCTCTAGTCTCTCCACATTCATCTCGGTGTCTGAATACAGCATATTTTCACCTTACCCTGAACGTTACACACACATGCTATGACAATAAGATCGATGCAGATTGGCAATCATCTTTAGCGTTGACCAAGCATTTCTGGTGTATGCATGGATGCCCACACACGGGCATGTTCATGCACTCGCCCCAGCCTCTTACCTTCTAAGTACTCCTCCTAGAAGGGATGCATTCAGACACTCTGGAGGAGAAAGGCGTCTTTGAACTTCTCCCACAGTTACTTTATACTTTGAAGTTGAACTAAGCAAAGACAAGCGGCCAGGTACAGAGCAAAACACCTCTCCGGTATTGACTGAAATTCCACCCAGGAAGCCATCTTTATTCATCATCAAAGAAGTAACAGATTTTGGAGGAACCGGCACTGGAGAAAGAAAAGGGGAAGAGGGGAGAGAGAAACCATCATGCCATGAAGGAGTACGGGATAACCACAGTCTCTCTGACATGCACAGAAGAGCAAAATGAAAGGGAATTTTGAATCTCTGGCTACCTCCAGCAACCTAAAGGGTGCTGCTCCCCCAACCTCTAGGAAACTGCTCCATGAATGATGGATGGAGAGAAGGGTGGTGCAGTACAGCCTCTATGCAGGGTTTGATCATTGGGAAATAAAATACATATTGGCAAGCACCTGGCAACTTTCGGGTTTGAGCCTGTGCCTCACCCAGAGCCCCCCGATGCCTTTTGTACAACGGACAGCGCCTTTCTGGAGGGGAAAAAAAAAGGAAAATTTACTTTTTTTGTGCTAATGTTTCCATTACTCCTAAGCTGAGCCAGGAATAAATTTACTACACGAAGGGAGTTGCTGTCTTAAATAAGTATCAAGGCTGGAGGATACAGCAACCAGAAGACAGCTCTGTTATTGCTTTGTGCTTTTATTAAGTCTGGTTTATGAAATAAAATGAGACTTTTCCTTCAGAAAAATGAACACCAGGAAAAAAAAAAATCTGATCTAACCATGGCGTTTGCCACCTTGATCACGTTGTGCTGTCCATGAGAGTAGGAACTCTCCTGCCCCTAAATAAAACTGATTTCCTTACTATAACATATATTTAAAGGTAGTTGGGAGAGGGGTGTCAAAATAAAATAATAAAGTGAAACTAAACAAAATAAAAACATTCTATCCACGGTGAAACGAAATATTACTTTTCTCTGAGAAACTAGTAAGGTTATTTTAAGAGTAACCAAAGGGATTATAACCAGACACGCTGATAAACAAACAAACAAACAAACAAACGGCTAAACCATAAATGAGAGCAAATCCCCCGTGACATGAATTTTGTTTACAAATGAACTTAAATAGCTCCCTCATATTGTGTGTAACTGTTATGATTTACAGCAGGTGCTCTAATCAATCAACTAATCACTTTAATTTATAGGGAGCCTCGCTGCATTTTCCCAGTTGTTTCATTTCTGCAAGTAATTGATAACAAACCGTACTTAAGGTATGTTTTATGCAGGAGTTAATAAGAGCTGACAGCTGCTACTGCTGCTTCCTCTCGGAATCGCGGCAACACACGTTTCCTTATAGAAAATATACTCCGAAATTGAGGGTTTGCTGCTGGTAGAGCCCTGGCATGTTTCAGAGAAGACTAATTGATTACACACCCTCGTCGAGCAGATACTACTTCACAGTCTCCCATTTCCACTCAATCAATTGCAAAACCAATTCGGCAAATAATAGGGTTCTATTATGCACATATGCCAGCTATTTAGGTAGTTATAATACATGTCAGTTAAGTCATAAAAACCCCTGTTTATTTGCAACGTATCTGGAGAATCAAACCATTAGGGTTGAGGGGATATTTAAGTCGTCTGGAGCTGCTAAACAATAAGATCGGGTATCCTAATATATTACCAAGTGCTAACTACTGGGCAATTGCCAATTTTATAACCTCAGTGTATGGAATAGACACAACCGTGTTTCACTGTTTTTATTACAGATCATTTCCGACTGCCAGTCCAGACCCCCACAATAAAAGCTCTATAACAGCTAAAAACCAAAAGGCATGTCGCTTTTAGATATACATATTGCTTCATATGCCTTGTATATAGTCTCCAGTATAAACAAATTATTTTGAGTGGCTTTACTTCAGGGAATCGGAAAGTGAAATGGATTCCTATTTCTCTATTATTTTTAGTTAAGCACTTTATGCATCTCATAAAGGCGATTTCAAATAGTTTGAGAACAGAAACAGTTATAAAAGAGTTAGAGGCCGGGTCCTGCTTTTCCTGCTATTAATAGGATTTTTGCCATTGACTCGTTTGGGGTATCAGAGGTAGTAGTGGGAGACAAATATATATATATACATATTTCTGCCCCCCCATTATACATAGAGATATAATTTATTTCATGCACGATGTTCTGCAACGTCATTCGAGTGAAGAATCAAGAAAAAAGTTTTAAAAAAGGAAAAAAGATTTAGATAAAGCAATGCCACCAGTCAGATTTTCATGACTGGCTTTTTTTTTTCTTCGGACAGACACAGGCTCAGTGGTTCGAGTACACCTTTACAGTGGCTATATTTAGTGACCAGTTTATCAGGTCACTGTCCAGTGAACTGAGAAATTAAACAAGAGGCAGCAATTCCACGAACATCTGATCTTAGTCCAAACTCACTAAAGAGAGAGGGACCCGTGCAATGCTTAAATGTTCCTCACCCCACTCGCTTTGGCCTTTTGGAGCACTCATTACATTAGTTAACCTTTGAAATATGGATTTTCACGTGCTCGGTATTTTTTTTTTTTTCCCCTTGCAAATTGCTTTTGGGAAGCAGGCTGGCTCCCTTCCCAGCTATGCTGAGAGCTCCTCAGCTTTTGTTCCTACCACTGCCTCCCCAAAAAGGACCGTATGGGAAGGACCCATCGATTGGATTGTAATAACTCTAAACCCGTTTTAGAAGCTTACCAGGCGGTGTAAGCATATCTATTGCAATTTCATAGCTTCAGAGAGATGTCTTCTATCTAGACTCTATATCTTCTGTAAATTACCTAATGCTGCCTCAAAAAAGTGTTTGCCATGGAATGAATTATCTCTATCTATATCATATCTATATGTTTATCATGGCTATAGCTTTTCAGATATAGCCCAGACATTACCAGAGATAATATAACGTGGAGGTCTCAGTGGGTGAACTGATCCACACGTCCGTGTGTGCAGCTGCATGTGTCAAATCCCTGCGTGCATGTAAATAAGCTGTAACGCAGAGTATATTTTTAGTCGATGTCAACTTTCCCAGTTGGTTAGGGATTGCCACAACTGCTGAAATATACAGAATAACAGAAGGATCTACGCAGCGTCCCCACCACTTCTGCTTTAACTTTACCCCATTTAGTTATTGTTATCCCCAGAGGAAACTATTAGATTTTCTTTCACTACAAAACTCTTTTTGCTGTGAGTATGCGAGCACTCATAAATACAGAATTCCCCTTTCCAAAATCTCTGCCCCTCTATTTATCTCTCCCTCTAGCCTTTCTCTCTTTTTTCTTCTCCTTTCTCCTTTTTAATCCCTTTTTCTCTCTTCTTTCTGTCTTCTCCTGTGGTTACTTCCAGCCTCTTTGTCATTTCTCCCCCTTCCATTTCTCTTCAGCTTATCAATAAACCGGGAGAGCAACAGTAGCCGCTTGATTTGTTAGTAATTATAAGCATACTGTTCCTGCAAACGGGATCTCTAGATGAGTGAGATCGCTTTAAAACGACAGCAGGAAATGGTGGGGAAATGGAGCATGGCGAAACTCAGCGTGAAGCTTTCAGTTCTTTACATGTTTACAATTTTCTGTGCATACATTAAGTCTTAGGGGTTGGGTTTGGGGTTTGGGTTTTTTGGTGGGTTTTTTTTTGGTGGTGGTTGTCGTTCTCTGTTGGGTTGCTCTCCACAAACGTGTGAAAAGGGGCACAAACGCACACGGACAATTGGAAATGGAAATAAAAGGGCATTTCAGCAACACTGAAAATAAACAAATAGAATTTTTTCTTGCAAATATCTGAATAACGAGGCTTTAAGCTATAGATATCGTTGCAATAACCCTGGTGAATAACATGATAGTCTATCAGTCAATCAATTAATCGGAAGAAACATTTCTTTTATTCATTACTAACAAATGTCATGAGCAAACTTATTACTAACGAGCTACCAAATTGCCTTCAAATCTTTTTTTTTTAATGTGCCTACTGGGCCTAAAATGAGTAAAAATTTCTTTGTCCATTATAAACCAGGACTTTGTTGTTATTGGAGATTTGGTCTGACGTGGTAGCCAAACCTAGAGAGGCCAGGAACATCATCTTACTCGTCGTCAGTAAAAGACCTGGATCTTATTTTAATTTTAATGAACAAATACAGAAAGTGTGTGGTCATGTCCCCTTCCCTCCTGTCCCTCTCGCCTCCTCCTCTCCCCCCTCCCTCCACCGCAGCACCTTTCTCCTGAAAGCCGGGACTAAATTTCCAAGCGAAATGTATTGCCTTGAAATTGTGTGGCATTCAATTAAAAGGGATCATAAGGTTCAATGGGTAATCCAGGAAAAAGCACGAAATTGAGTGGCAGCGAAGCAACATCTCCGATTCCCAGGTCTATCACCTGAAAAGCTGAGGCCAGAGTGGTTTTCAGTTAATCATTTATCCGGATATTTCAAGAAGAGGTGAGGAGGAATCTTATGCTGTATTATTAAGAGTTAAAAAAAAAATGTTAAGACACCTCCTCTCATGTGTTTCTTTAAAAGAATAGGAACAATAGAGCGTGTTTGCAAGGAGGCAATGAATTAAGGTGTTAGAGTTAAAATGGCCTTTCGTGCTAAATCAGATGTGAGTGTGCAGACGATCGTCAGAAACAGCTGAAAGTAAATAAACACATCAGAATAATTTTAAGGTCACTGACTGTGCCCCAGAGTCACAAAAAATTAACTTGGGACTCGGGCCACGCAAGAGTTTGCGAGAGGACAACTTCCTTCGCCAGAGAAGGTGCCAAGCAAATTTCAGATGAGCAGTTGACAAGGGGACCCGATCTTTTATTCCTGACACATAGAAAACCTTCCCTTCATTTCAGCAGAAATCGAGGGAAAGGCCTCAAAACGTGCAGCCGGCAAGCTCTTAAAGCCGAATTAAATCTGGTATTAATGCTCTTGGTGATTATTATCATCTTGATGATTTATCTGGCTCCCTCCCTCCCGCTTCCACCACCCAAATCTTAATGGAACTAGGAGTTAACGATGATTTTTTAATGTCTCGTTGGATTTTTAGACTGTTAATGTACCGCATCCTTCTCATTATTAGTTTATTGATTGTTCATTGACCAGCCCCCTTCAAATCGTATTAACCACCCTCTGCCACTTTAGATTAGGAGAGTTTAAAAAGCACCTTTCATTATTTCACCACCACCACAGTAGAGTTCAGGCTTGGTAGCTTAATGCTCGCTCTAATGGGGCAGCTCAGAGACGAGGGGCCACGGTCCCTGCCTATTGCATTAATAGCTCAAAGGGGGCTAATACAGAAAATTAGCCTTAAACGAGCTCTGGAGATCTCCAAATGAAAGAGCCATTTATCACGCTGGCTACCTTCACTCCACTCGTTTGCTCTCTCTACTGGGAACAACTCATTTCCTCTTAACTAAATTACTTCAGAAATGTCAAGTAAGCTCAGATAGCAAACATAACAAGAGACTGTGTATATGTAATCTATTGTGCGGGATCGATACGCGAGATAAATCGATAGCCGTGTATGAATCCCTATATAATTTCCTTAATATTTTTGGCAATCCTTTTGCATAGCGAGATAATTCCCTCTGCAGGCCTCAAAGACCACGCAGAAACAGACACCTTCTGGATGATACAGGGAAGTTTAGACTCCAAGCCCACATTGCACTTTTCCCACTACTTTTTAATTGAAGCATTTTAGGCATTAAATTAGGTTTTGGGGAAGTAGACTCCCTCCAATCCTCGTCTAGCAAATACGTGTCACGGGGAGTTGCTCCACTGCACAAAAATCAGTCAGTACCTGTCTGTCTGTCTATGCCATCCGCCTCCATAACGACTTACAGAGTTTAAGTAACTTATTCTTACTTCAAAGTACACCCTCACAGCTACAAACTGCAGGGAACAAAGCGAAATTGATCCTGAACCCTCTCTGCGTCTCTCCTTGGCTCGTCCTGATTAAATATCGTCTGCCACAAATGTGACCTCCGATTTATCACCCATTTCTCCTCCTCCGCACCCGGGAAACTCGCTGTGCAAAAAAGAAACCAAGCTCACTATATTCCTTTATGCTGGAAAGTTTCTTAGAGCTCAGCGTTGCTTCTAAGGAAGAAAATACTCCTACAGTGACTTTCAAACAGCTGCAGACGAATCTCAGGGTCTTTTTTAGTAACCTAATTTCGAAAGTGCATTTGTATCCTGTTCATCATGGGTAAACTCTTCTTATGGCTGCAAATAGGCACATGTAATCCCACCTATATGGGACTGTGTCTCTTTAGGCGGCAGCTGCTCGACCTGTGGCCGTTGCCATGCCCGTACACAGTAAGCACACCTTAATTTATACCTAATACATATTAACATTCACATTTTGGTGCTACTCAGCAGGCACATGAAATGTCTCTGCTGCCCTCGTCATCTGAAGGAGGGAGAGACCCATGCAGAGAGGGGGTAAAAAAGAGTATTTTGGAGTGGGTGACCAAACAGAACGCGTTGGGGGTGGGGGGTAAAAAAAAAAAGAACAGATTGCGAAAGAAAAATGCCAGCACGGAGCAACGTTAGAAAGGAATCTCTCGACCACAAATCAAGCACCAATTAATCAAATACGCCCAAGAGAAAACATCGTGGATGAGGTGTTTAGGCGGGGGTGGGGAGGGGAGGAGGGGAGTGAGAAAAAAACAACCCAAAACAATCAAAAGCCATCAGGTTACAGACCCTGAACACAAAAGCTACTAAACATTCAAACTGAACTAAACCAGGAGAAACAATTATTTTTTTTAAAGGTAAGTAATTTTCTGTTTCTCAAAAACACCTTCGACTTCTCAGCCGGTGGTCATAAATGATGTTGCCAAATGGTCTTGCAGTTTTTATCCGTCCTTCTTCAAGTAACTAGAAACTATCGTGTATGTGTGTGTGAGAGAGAGACTGTACATGAGGATTTAAATTAAAAAACAATAAATACACGGAAGGACCTCATGCTGCCTTGAACGCATTTTAAATAAACACCTTCCCTGTTATTTTGCTTTACGCTCTAGAAGATCATCTCCATTAAAGCATTTGTGCCCATTTGACAAATAATAAGGTCCTGGAGAGAAGTGCTGTTGATAGTAAGCATAAGGGACAGCATTTCTAAGCCTCATCTCTGGTACTTAAAATTGAATCTAGAAATAGAAACTCCTTAGATAATTAAAGATAGCTTATCTGTTTAATGTCTATCAGCATAACACAACACTAATCGCCAAGCATCTTCCAGTGACTGTCAGAGAAATGTAAAAAAATGAAGCAGCTGCAATACGCCCAAAATGAGTTATTGTAATTACATTTAATTAGTTTAATTAGTTAATTATTTTGCTTACAGCTGTACAAGAGACTGCAAACATTTGTTAATATCACATTCCCTTTAACAGTATGGGGTGATTCTGCAGTTACACTAAATCATGTGCGCATATGTAGAAAGATTTAAAAAATGGGCATGGGGAAGGGGGGATTCTTGGCGGAAGGGGGGAAGGAGGTCGGGGCTGCCTTTCCACAGGCATTTGTTTCTCTCCCCTTCACGTTTGAGTCGTCTGGGAAATGCATTTAAGCCCCAAAAGGAATCAACCCCCTCTCCCCATTAAAAACCAAGGGATCCCTATCGAGGATTGGGGAGGGGGGGGAGAACTGCATTTGAGCATGGGGTGCTCCATTGGAGAGCATTTGTGTAATTAAACCCTTTGGAGGAGGCGGGAGAGGGGGATATCAACTTTTCCTCTCACATCTCTCTCCTTCTCCCTTCACTCTCTCTGCCGGACCCATCAACTCTTCATCTTGCTGCCATGTGCGTCCTGCTTCCCGGGTAAATTAATTGCCCCAGAGTAAAAATGTATCATGAAGATATCGCTACACAGTAAAAGTCGGTCTAGCTTGTTGGAATAATCCGTACCTTTTTTAATGACAGACTGGTCCAATAAGTTCATACCGCTGTTATTGGCATCTTCAACTGACTGTGGATATAAAAACATCACTATTCAAATTGACTGGATATTAAAGAGTCGCGTACATAAATCATGTCATTCCAAACTGGAGTTTCTGTTATTTCCATTTATATTAATTCACTAGGGGTGGAGATATTTTTTTTTTACTATTATTATTGTTATTATTATTCCCCCAAATTGACAAGGAAATGAAATTCTTACAAATTATATGGTCTTCTAATAAAAAAATAAAGACGTGTGAAGCATATGGGATGCAATACTGGTTTTGTTATCTTATAAAACATAGATATCACATAGACTTCTTTGCATTCGATAAAGTTTTATATTTCTTCCTTCGAAAATCTGGCAATTTGGCAACATCTGCAAGATCTATTGCATGACATAAATGAACACGATTAAGGACAACTTAAATTCTCCCTCCCCTTTCTTCCCCTCCCTCCCCCCCTCCTTTTTTTTTTTATTTTGTTTGTTTGTCTAACCCTGCTACATCTTAATAATTCAAGGGCCATTTACTTTTTATATATAATAGTTTACATTAAGGACTTTTAATTAAAGCCTGAGCAATTCGGAGTGCAGCTCAACGCCCACATCGTATAGGGTACAAGCAGAAAGAGATTTACAGCTCCCGAGGTTGCTTCCATGTCCTGAATCAGTGGGGACGGGGAGGGGAGCAGGAATATACATTATCAAAAGTATGAACTACTGAACTGATTGCCTAGAAAGAGTCTCCCGATCTCCTTTTCAAAGTCTTTTTTATTTTTTTTCCCCCTTTTTTCCTCTCTTTTCAGCCCGCTTAGGAGCACACCTGTTATTACAGTATTAACTTCTTTAGCAGGGAAGAGAACAAAGGCGGGCACAGAGGAGAGAGCAAATGTTGGGTTTCATGTCTCAACACGAAAGTGGGATATACAAAAAAACAACCAAACAAACAAAAATTACCGCTGAATCTGCGGTCGGCACAGCAAAATCATCTCCCAAAGAGAAAGGGTGTCATAAGAACAATTTATTGCAGAATTACGACAGGTTCCGTTTTAGGGTAAAGTCTGGGTTTTAGAGAAAGGGAAGACCTGTGGGTTTCTCGGTTTTATTATTTTATTTTTCTTATTATTACTTAGGCTTTGTTTTCTTTTTTCCGGGTTATTGCATATTTGGGGAGTTATCACATTTTTTCCCCTGATAAGGAAAACATCTTTACAGCAAAGCAATGATTTTCTTCCCTGTTATTTTAACTTTATCTTTGCTACACCGAGAGGCTGAGCTTATCCGGATCCAGCCCTTATCTCCGTCTCTCTCTTTCCTCAACAGAGACGTTCAAGGCGGAATATGATTTAGGAGAAAATTACATCTCCCCAAAATGTGACGGAGCAATATTTTCTTCAGATCTTTCCTTTCATTTCCCTTGAATACCCCCTCAAACGAGGGCGCAGACACGGTGGTTCCTGATGTTGTGTGTTTGTGCATGGCTGTGCCTCTCTCTCATAATCAATAGGCTACATACCTAAAGGGCACAAAATAAAATTACAAACTCTTCTCTCCTTTCCCTGAGCAGCTCCCAAAGAGGGATGACGAGCAGATCCTGCAGCCTGCTGGAGTGCACCGTGGTGCAGAATTGGAGGCAGAGACGAAAAACGCCATTTTTCCCTTCCTGGGGTGTTCCGGCCCCCCCCCCCCTTCCTTATCTCACCTTATCTCTGGAGTCTATGGCTGCGCACACGCTTTATGTGTGTGCGTGCACTCCGCTCGCTCCATCAGCAACGTGGGTTAGTTGTTGTAGTTAATGAGAAGACTCCTGTCTGATTTTCTATCTAATTACGCCCTCCTGCTGGGTTTTTGTACAGGATATTCGCTCAGCATGCTGGCAGTTAATAGTCACAGAGAGGATCGTAAAGATTTAATTAGGACTGCATGCGGAAACGTGGAAAAACAACTCAGACTTTTAATTACTAGACTTCTTTAGTTAAAAGTGATACCAGGGGTTACTTTATAAGAGACTTGCGTGTTTGGGTGCAACTTAACTTTCCGTGTCTCTAGCCAGCACAATAGGAGCGGGGACAGCAGTGTGAGGGAGGAGGAGGAGGAGGAAGAGGAGGAGTGGAGGTGTGCGTGCGGGGAGGGGAAAGGTGATGAGTTTCCAGATACACTTAGAAAATCTAAGGAAGATTCCCCTCCCTCCCTTCCTCCAATAATCTGATAGCACGGAGTTTCCTGTATACCATATATATACACGACTTATTCAACAGCTCTGGGTATATCTGAGAGAAAACCCTAAAGATTGATCTTTTTGTTTTCCTTTAAAGAGTCTAAAGAATCTGGATTTTCCCCTGTATATTCTCTTTATCGTACCTTTTACCAGTAAAACCCTACTTTTACCTAGCCATGGGAAAAAAAAAAAAAAAACAAACAACAAACAAACCAAACAACCAGAAAACTGGGATTGCGATGGTGTTTTTCAGAGTCCCTATTAGACGATCCAAATTTGTTTTCAATAAGTAGGTCTTAGCTTCCCTGTTTGAGGGCTGTAAATCGCAGATTGAAAATTCCTCTCGAAAGAGACAGCAATAGCAATACAATACGTCCTGTTTACACTAACAGAGCGCGATCGTGTTACAGTCACTTAATTCTACCCCTGGACAATGGCTCACACATGGCCTGGATTTGGTGTTTATAAAATAACCACTGTTTCTTTCTGTCACGCACTCCCTGCCTCCTTCTCTCTTGTCAGCCCAACCCATTCTCATGGCACGTATTTGATGAGACATGCATAAGCTAAAGCAGAGAGACACGTCTTTATCCAACTATATCCTTAGCTATGGGTTCAACTTGTTGGATTACTGAAAAAAAGAAAAAAAACCACGCACCCAACCTATTTGAAACCCTTCCTGGAAATCCTCTAGTGTTCGTGGTTAACAAATATATGTTGCCTAAATAGGAATCCCTGTAGCTAGAACGGATTCCTTGAATCTAGAATAAATCCGTATTAAAAATCAGGGTGGGAAACTGCCCAACTTCATCTGTCACTGGTGGGGGGACAAGAATAGGAAATGCTGAACGGTAGGACCGAGTACTGGGCTGCTTTCCCTCCTGCCTGTGCTAACTTGCAGTTGGACACTTCTGCCTTCACGTGTTTCTCCTCGGGATGCCTTCTCCTCTCCCTCTTGCCCTCCTCCCCCAGCCCGCGACCAAACTTTTTAGAGATAAAGGGGCTGTTTCATTTCCCGCGCCCTCAGCACCCCAAAACAAGAACCGCAGCCTTGTCTGCTCCAGCCAAGCCCCGTCCCATCCCCAGCCCGAGCCCCGGTCCCAGCCCACCCGAGCGAACGGGTCGCGGGTGGCCGTGGGGCGCACCGCTGCGCTCGGAACCGTCGGGGGGAGGCACTTTCCACGAGTGCTGTGCCCTGCCCGCAGAAGGGATGTTTTATTGGAAAAGGGAGGGAGAGCTTCTTTATTTGAGCTGATGCAGGACTCTTCCTTCTCTCTTTCTCTCTGTCTCTCTCTCCCTCTCCCCCCCCATCCCTTTCTCTCTTTCTCCCTTTCTCCCTTTCTCTCTTTTTTCCTCTCTGTCTCTCTCTCTCTTTCTCTCGTTCTCTCTTTCTTTCTCTCTTTCTTTCTCTCTGTCTCTTTCTTTCTCTCTTTTCTCTCTCGTTCTCTCCTCCTTTCTTTCCCTCTTTCC